TACACACACACACACACACACACACACACACACACACACACACACACACACACACACACACACACACACACACACACACACACACACACACACACACACACACACACACACACACACACACACACACGCGCGCGCGCGCGCGCGCGCTCATATCTGCTGAGACCTCGATTTTTAGGTAAACCGGGTTGAAACCAATAACCTCCCGATTTTTTGAAAATCATTTATTTTCATAGCGGGAAGTTGAAAAAATTTTTTTTACTCTCAGTTTATATGTAGAAAAAAAAAATGGTGTGTGTACTTATGTACACGCGTCAGAAGTTATACTTCTTTGGCATAAGAAAAAAAAATGTGAAAATGATTGAAGAAAAATGTTAAAAACAATCAAAAATGTTTTATTATAGTCAATATTTTGCTATATTGTATAATTATAAAATCATTAATTATTGTATGAATTTAATTCAATATTATTTAAAATTTTCTGAATAAACTATAATTTTGGAGTTGTAAAGTATCAACAGTTTACAATTGATAATTATAAAATATTTTAATTATTTATTTAAAATATTCGTTTCTTATATAATAGTTTATGATTTATTATTTTACCGAGTGATAATATCTTTTTAATTAATATTTTTTCAAAAATAATATTAATTACATGAATTAACCGATTTAAAAATATTGTAGTATAAAACTAGATTTTGTATCCAATAAAATTCGGAAAAATTACTAAAATGGTCTATAATATACATTTTAAGAAATATGGATAGAATTACTAAATTCGATAAACAAAATGACTAAGGTAGTACCTCCACGAAAAGCATATTTCAAGAAACTTATGGAATTTTTTTTATCGTAAAATAAATATATTCATAATGGAATTATAAATCTTATGGAATTTTAAATCTTAATTTATAATTTACGATATAGTTTATTTTAAATCATTCTAACTCAAGGGCTTTTAAAGCGTATTCTTATTATAATTGGCCTTGTTTAAATCTCAATGTTTAAATTTTATTAACCAAATTCTATTATCTAAATCATATTAATAAATCTAAATTTTAGTATACCAAATAATTCAAAAAATCTCAATATTTAAATATTCATAACTATAAACCAAAACTTATATCCGAATATTACAAATAATTATTCGACTGAATATTTTAATGTAGCCTTTTATCTATCTATATTTTGTATTTTATATAATTTTAAGTAACTTTGTAAATAATCTAATGTATACTCATATTCATACACATTTCAAATGTAATTTAAATTCCTTGCCAAGGCAATCTGCCTGTGCCTTAGCATTTATCATGAATAAATAAATAAAATAATTCACCATAAAAATTTCAGATCAATTCACCGCACCGTTTTTAAGTAATTAATATTCGAAATTGCATTATTTACACGTAGAGGTATAGAGAAATGGTAAAGTTAGTATGAAATATGCTTTTCGTGGAGGTACTACCTTAGTCATTTCGTTTATCGAATTTAGTAATTCTATCCATATTTCTTAAAATGTATATTATAAACCATTTTAGTAATTTTTCAGAATTTTATTGGAAACAAAATCTAGTTTTGTACTACAATATATATAATAATAATAATAATAATAAACATTAATAAAGTTATTATAATGGGGGACTCCGCCCCCTAACCCCCGCCAGGGCTTCGCTCCTGGACCCCAAAAATTTAAAATTTATATAATAATAATAATATCTGACCAACACTGAAGCTTGTAACCGTGCTGTGCCCTTTTATCATGGTTATTGTGTGTGTTAATTCGATATTTGACCAACACAGAAGCTTGTTACCGTGCTGTGCCCTTTTATCATGGTTATTATGTGTATTTTTTATTTTTATATGAGAAATTTTTGTATGAGAAATTTTTGTCGTAATAGAATTATGGAGCCATAAAGAAATTTTTGTACAAGAAAATTATACCGGATAAATTTTGACGATGAGAAATAATGCCTCTAAGAAAATATTGTAAAAGAAATTATTGCTGAGAATTTATGTCGCGAGAAATTTTTGCGTGAGAAAAAAGAGACGGTCACCCCATTCAGCCTGTGCCTTGGCATTTATCATGAATAAATAAATAAAATAATTCACCATCAAAATTTCAGATCAATTCACCGCACCGTTTTTGAGTAATTAATTTTCGAAATTGCATCTTTTACACGTAGAGGTATAGAGAAATGGTAAAGTTAGTATGAAATATGCTTTTCGTGGAGGTACTACCTCAAGTCTATATTAAAAAATCTATATTAAAAAATTATGAACTTAATAAAAAGATACCTAAATATATTAAATACTAAAATATTTATATTTTAGTTTAAATATTTTATTTCATGAAATTATTATTATTTTAGAAAAAAATATAAATTAAAAAGTAATTAATACCAAGTTGAATTAAAACTAAACAATCAAATAAAATATTTAATTGACCATTTTTTAAAATTGATTATTAATATGAATAATTTATTTTATATTAAATGGCATTTTTATCGAATTTAAAAATAACAACGTTTCGTTGGATACTTTGCGACTAGCTTGTATATGAGTTAACTTAGTCAGTAAAAGAATTCTATATTTTTAATTATATTTGTGGCCAACTTCATCATGTCGCTTTTTTGGGACATCATGCGCGCGCAGCTCACAAATTTCACTCTCATCCAAACGCGCCAAAAGAAGTATAACTTCAAAAAAGGGAAGCTACTTGAGCACGGAACAAATTTGTAGGAAAAATTACAATTATTCCATCGTAATTCGGGACCAGACTTTCAATATTTTCACTTTCATAATTTTATATTTCAAAATGTACTGTGACATCGTAAAACTTTATATATTGACTACTTTTATACACATTTTGATAGTAAACATCGCAAATTTAAAAATAGAAAATTATGAAAGTGGAGGTTTGAGAGTCTGGTCCTGAATTACGACGGAACAATTGTAATTTTTTCGACAGTTTTTTTTCTGTATAGAGTTGATATCGAGCTGCGATGTGACGAGAGTTTTTTCACTTAAATAGTTAATAAAAAAAATTATTTTTTTATTTAAAGTACTCTACGTAAATATGTTAAACTTATAACAGCTTCCCTGATAGCCATGCTAACTAAAACTAACAGAAAGACAACGTAAACTTTATAATAATTTTACTAAAATACTGAACTACATGTTCTTGAGCAGAAATTGAGACTATCAGGGTTATTATATACATAAAATTTTTCAAGATATTAAACTATAAAATTAACGATCATTTTATTATTAAATAGAAATGTGATGCCATGGACATTTTTCAACTCACAAAATAAAGAAAGTGATAAAAAAACCGTTGGTCACGGTTCATGTTCACCTTTGCTGTCAAATAGTCGCACTTCTCCAGTAGCTGTTCCTATTCCTGGACGCTTTCGACAACGCAACGAATCTTCATCTTCCGCTGGTTCTTGGCAAATGATTTCAGGAACGGGTAGCTTACGAGGGTCAACAACCTCCAATTGTGCACTACCGGAATTTCTATCCGCCTCTACACTAACTTGTAAATCACAGTGCATAACTTGTTCTGGTCAAACTTCTCAAGAATCAAGCGTAACAGTGATTGAAGATGATTCAGCTCTGTCTTCAGCCCAGTAATATTTTACACATACTTAAAAAATAGATAAATAATCAAATAATAAGCTATTTCTAAGCAATGATATAACTATTTTAGATCACGTAAAGATAGACTACACAGCGTTCGGACATTGTTTTATAATATTTACAGCCATACAGTTGGATTTAGAATGAAAGAAAATTCGGAATCTAGTGGATTCGGCCAATTATTGGGGAATTTTGCTGAAAAAGTAGGTATATTATCGGTGCAACGTACGTCATTATGACCTTAAATTATGATAAAGGGCTTTATATTATTATTATTATATAAAATTGAATTGTTTAAATTGGTTCATATTAAATTTTTCACTAATATGAAATGAATGGTGGATGAGATTAAATTTTTAAAGTAAATAGAATGCAACTTTATAAATTTGATGTATACCTGTACAATAAATTAAACTTAATATTTTTCATATATATTTCATTGTAAACTTATGCATACCTTTTTTCATTACTTTGTTATATTAACCGAGTTCAAATACACCAGTCACACATATTGAGGGATCAAAGAAGTTCGAAACTTTTAGGTGACTTTCTACAGGCTGAAGATTAGTTTCGTAAGAAATATTCATGTAGGAAATTCAAAAAGAAAAAAAAATTAGAAAAATGTTGATCTTACAGGCCAATCCTGTAACTTTCCACAATTTTCGAGCTTAAAATGCTTAATTTTACAATCATACTTATTTAACGATGGAATTTTTTTATTCAAAAATCGTAAAATAGTCCTTTAATCATTTATTTCTTTGTATAAGACCCAACAGCCCATTCATTTATTTAATAAGCTTAACGAATCTCGAATACGTGCACAGAAAAAAAAGTCATCTTGACTCAAGAAAATTATTTTCTTCAAAATTTATTTCTTGTTTCAAGTTATTCTGCTATCTTAGTTGAAAAAATTTATTCTTGAACTAATAATGTCATATACTTATCCAAAGTAAATCTTTCTCTTGGTTTGAGAAAGTAGTGCCAACGTTGGCGACGTGATTTTTTGGAACTAAACCGAGAATTTTTTAATAAAGAATTAAATTTATAAAAATAACCTTATGCATGATTTTTAGTAGATTTCATAGAAATCTAACTATTGCATTGGTCCTCATGACGGAACTATCGAAAAATTTTGCTATATTTCGACTCAGCTCGTCAAGCGGATTCAGAAAATGCATATGGTTCAAAAGTTTATATATGTATGTATTTATATATATTGAAACACTGAACTTTTTGTTTACTTAAAAAAATCCAATTACTTAAGTCATCAAGTCCTTGCGGATAGGTAAATGATCACTTAAGCTTCGTTTAATTGGGATACGCTGTTCGGGGATTTTCCGCTCCCTGATTTATATGTATTAATTCTTATTAATAATTTTATTGTTTGGCAAAAATTCTCACGTGTGCCAGTTATAATTGCTTTATTTACTTACAATGCTCTGCGTCCTTGATTGACCCTTTCGGTTGAATAAAACGATCGTAGCAAATGGAAAAGTGAATGGTGGTAATTCAGTAATGATGTATAAAGATGATAACGATAAATTTAACTTTATTTCACAAAATAACACTTTAAACAAGACTTATAATGTCTTGGTAACGTAATTAATGAAATACTTAATAAACTGAATACTTATACTTAAAACTATGATTGATTAAACAGTAATGATAATAAACGTGGTGAATAATCACCTAATATAAAATTAATAATATAGATAGAAAATAATAAGGAATATTAGTTTAGATTATTATTTAGACAATAAGCTTTTAGATTATTTAAGGTTCTGGTGAGTAATCACCTAATAGTAGTAATAGTAGTATAGTGGTAAAAATGACTAAGAAATACCTAGCGTGGTGGTTCACACCGGGGGATAGATCGAAGTGTCGATCAATGCTCATGTTCTGATGCTCGTAGCTGATTTTCCCCTCCTCGTGTCGTCTTGTGACGTCACGGGAGCTACCCATTATTTTAGCTAGTGTCGGTAACGGAAATTTCGGGTGGTAGTTCGCTAGGCTGATAAAGTCGGGACATTTTGCAGTGTCTCAATGTATATACAAGTACTAGCTGTTACTCACCCGCTCCGCTGGGCACTATAGAATTGTATTTTGAGATCTAGACTTGAAATTCAATTGTGGAGTATTGTTTTGACTTGCACAGATTCCAAATTCTATCGGATTGGCCTGTACCTTTTATTCATGTCATCATTCTAGCGAATATCCATTGTAACTTTCAATGTGCAATCACTATAACATTCCCGTGGCTTTCTCCAAAAATAAATAATAATTTTGGATTTACGATTTCAAGATTTGATTTTACGAAATCTCTTAAAATGAGTAGCCAAATTTCTTTTCCCCATCTCAAGTGTTTAGAAAATATATTCATTTTAATCTGTTACATTCCCGCGACCCCGTAATAAGAACAATTCATCGGTTATGTAATCAGCAAAAATAAAATGTTTGCAAAATACTCAGTCCGTTGTCTATATAGCTACAAGTTAAATTTTAGAAATCTTACAATGACTTTTTCGTCGCTGCCAAAGAGACGATTGTTGTAAGAAAATATAATTATTAAAAAAGGAAAATATTTTAATCCGTTGGCCTTGGAGGCCATCCCTGTAATTACCTGTTTCTCTTGAGATTCTATGAAATTTTATATCTGTAGAATATATATTTGAAGAATATGAATTTTTTGACAACTATCACTCCCGCATTTCTATGTGAGAGAGAAATTTCGTAAGATCCTATTCGAGATGATTTTTACATTATAAATAAAATATTCCAAAAAAACTTCGAGCCCATGGAAACTATTGTTTTGAAAAAAGAGATTTTCATTGTTAACGCCTCCGCAGTCCCTTTTGGGGTTAAAATTTGATAAAATTCATTCTTAGCTGAACTTGACATGATACACGAAGACTGCCACCAAATTTGAAGTCTGTCGAAGGTAACTTCTGTAAACTGTAATTACAGTCTGAAAATTAAAATTTTAGATTTTAACACCCAGCCTCGCAATTTCTATCGTAAGTAAACTTTATTGAAATCCATTTTGAGATGATCTTTACAGAAGAAATAAAAGATTTCTACCAAATTTAGAGTTTTCAGAAGCTATATTTTGGAAATTAACATTTTTTATTGTCAACACCCACTCCCGCAATCCTTATTGGAGGTGATTCGTTGTAAAATCCGTTGTTAGATCATTTCTATATCACATATAGAAGATTCCTACTAAATTTGAAGTCTATAGGAGCTATAGCTTGGAAATTAAAAATTTTAATTGTTAATACCCACCCCCGCAAACCCCTGTGAGGTAAGCTATAGTAAAATTCGTTCCTATATTATTTCTACATCTCTTACAGAATATTCCTACACAATTTTGAGTCTATTGGAGCTATAGTTTAAAAACGGGTATTTTTTATTATTATTAACGCCCCCGCAATCCTATTTGGGGTAGGATATAATCGTAGAATTCGTTCATAAATTATTTTTACATCACGTACAGAAATTTCCCATAAAATTTGGAATCTGTAGGAGCTATAGCTTGAAAATTAAAAATTTCCATTGTTAATACCCATCCCCGCAACCCCCTGTAGGGTGGGATATCGTAAAATTCGTTCATAAATTATTTTCACATCTCTTACAGAAGATTCCTACCAAATTTGGAGTCGATACCCAGTGAACACATGACTTTAATATGACGTCATTTATAAGTCATAGCAATGTCACAATATTTTACGTACATATGACGTCCAATTGACCTGTCTTGTGATCCAATTATGATGTAAAAATATATAATATAATTTTGACATCATACTGATGTAAGTTTATTACTTCTCTATGATATCACGGAAATGACTTAGATATTACGTACAACTGACAATATATAAACTACAATATTACGTAACATTAATGCCATCATTGTATGTCATAATGACGTAAGTTTAATATCATGCGTTTACATCAGTGACAAGTCACGGTTGTACGTATTCTTGACGTAAGTTTAACATCATGCGTTTACATCAGTGACAAGTCACGTTTGTACGTAATCTTGACGTAAGATTAATATCATGTGTTTACATCAATGACGTCACGGTGGTACGTAATACCGATACCATTTGTGAGTCATTATTTAACGTCAATAATTTGTCACAATTGTACATAATACTGACGTAATTTGAAAGTAATTTTCTAAAACAGTGACAAACAATTATTTTCTATAATATTAATAAAATTTGGGGGATGTATTTTCTTAATATTATCGATTAATCAAAATTTATCAAGTATAAAACTTCTTTAACAAGATGTCTAATTTACAAATAATCGTTTAATATTAGTGAAAATTGGTTTGAAATTTTGTAAGAATCAGGAAGAGGTGAACAGCTGATTTAGGCCGGTACCTTGCAAATTTAAGTCTGTTCTTAATAACAAAAATTTATAATTTCTTAATATTAATATATATACCTAATATAATGAATATATCTAACATATTAGAAAATAACATACAAAACATCCTTCATTTTCGTTTTTAAGAAAAATACATATAAATTAAACACATGTGGGATATAAATTTTTTATATTTATGCTTGTATGTTTTCATACACTGCAGAAAAAAAATCTTGACTCAAAGGTAAATTTCTTTGGACCAAGAATATATTAAAAATGACTGAAAATTCCATGAATGAAGTCAAAATTTCTTGAGACTAAAACACCTCTTCTTGCTCCAATATAACTTTGGCCTCCGTTAAAATTTTCTTGATGCAAGAAATACTTTTTTTTCAGTGCATGTTTCTCACTTATATTTTTTCCATGAATTTAGGTACTTTTATCCATTGTAAAAATATTTTAAACTTCATTCAGTACAAATGATTTGGTGTGAAAATGATAACAAAATACCGAGTTCAATTTATGTGGCATGAGCTCTAAATTTTTAAACCGTCAAGCGAGTAAATGTATAATTTTGTATGATTTTGCGTCAAGACATTAAATGTCAGTCATTTAAATATTGCACTATTACTTGAAAAATAATTTTCTGACATTAATGCTGCTATTTATGAAACATTGTTTTAGAAATAATTCAATCAGTTTCATGATTGTCATTGACGAGACTAATTTATTTATTTATTTATTTATTTATTTATTTATTTATTTATTAACATACGCCTATGGGCAATATACATAAAGAAATTATTTAAAATTAAATAACATAAATTAAAGAAATTAAATTATGATTTAAATTGAAGCAAAGAAC